ATATCAATTGAGAATGAGAATGCAACAAATTGATATTCATTTCCAAACTACCCAAAGCCACCAAAACCTTATCTTCAAATGTAGAATCACTAGAAAATGCATAAGGATGATGAGAGCAAATTTGAGAATCATACACTTGAGGATGTGAATAGTGATTCATTCTTTAATGATGAGAAGAAGATAACACAAATCCTTGGGAACCTTCATTCCTTTTATGAGGTGGGACATATCTACTTTGAAAATGCTTAGCTTGAAAAGGACTTGAATTTTCATTCCACACCGGAACATAAACATTTGAGTAAGGGTGAGCAAATGTAGTATTGACTTGTTCAAAGTGTTCATTAAACACATGTCCATGGGGACAATTGAAAGTAGAATGTAGAACACTAGAACATGTCATGTAAGGCTCACAAGACTAAAAAGAGTGATAAAAAGGAGATGATTTGAAAACCGGTTTTTGACTCAATAAGAATTGATCAAGTTTTTGAGAGAGAGTTTTGACCTCGGCTACAATCTCCATTGGACTTTCAATTTAACACACTTTCAAATTTCTCTTTTTGTTAATAGAATCATGACTCAACCTAGAAGTGTGAGATTTATGCAATGAATTTTCACTTAATTTTTCAAAAAGGTGTCAAACATCATCTTCATGTTTCCCAAAATATGAACCTCCACATGAAGTATCAACTATGTCCTTGTGAATGTCGGATAGGCTTTCATAGAAATATTGAACCACTTGTAATTTTGGAATGCCATGGTGTGGACATTTTCTTAGCAAGTTATTCAATCTTTCCCAAGCCTCATGCAAAAGTTCTCCTTCCCCTTGAGAGAACTCTCTAATGGCGGTTCTCATTGAATTGGTCAAACTTACGGGGAAAAAAAAATTCAAAAATTCATTTTGCATTTGTATCCAAGAAGTTATCGAATTTGCCCCCAAGTTGTTGAACCAATGCTTTGCCTTATTTTTAAGAGTGAAAGGGAAGAGAAGTAACCTAAGAACTTCTTCCGGGACATTCATATACTTAACGGTGGAGCATATTTCAAGAAATTCATGCAGATGTTGATATGGTTCCTCATCATTTAAGCCATAGAAAAGTGGACATACTTGAATAGTCTCGGGCTTAATTTCATATTAATCGGCCCCAAAATTCGGAAGCACCATACAACTTGGGGCATGATATTCATGGAAATTGTAATTATCACAAAGGATCAATGGAGGTATTGGAGCTTGAACTCCAAGAGGAAATTGATTAAAAGGAGGGTGTTCCATGAAATGCAGGTCTAAGTAACCAAGATTACCTTCTAGATTTTTCATTAAAATGCCTAGGATGAAGGGTAGGGAAAAAGGACCGCACAACACTTTCAAGCAACACAACAATAAATTCAACAAAAGCAAGCACTCCTCCTTAGCAACACAAAGCAATCAATAACAATCCTCCACATAAAATGATCCCATACTCCCATGCTTGAACAATATGCAAGAAAAATTAAATTGCCTCCACGCGGGCTCACGATCTATCTAAGAAAATAAAGACTTGCCTCCACGTGGGCTCACGATTTAACTAGAGATAGAGTTTAGAAAAGCTTACAAAGGGTCCTTAAGCAACTTCAAATTAATTTCAATTTTTGCCTTGCTTTGCTTTGCAATTTTTTTAGATTTTAGCTTTTTATGCTTTGCTTTGCTTGGCTCTTTGCTTCTTTTGCTTTTCAATTTCCCTTGCTTCCCCTCTTGGCTCAATTCACCTAGCCAATGAAGAACAACCACAATAAGTAACCAAAGTAAAATAAAAATAAAGACAAGATCAAAAGAGTACTAATTCCTAATTGATTTCCAAAATACAATGGTGCCAAGATTCCCCGGCAACGGCACCAAAACTTGGTATGTGTTGTACCAATGCACCAAATTGCATACAATAGTGGAGTGTATTATGGCCAAGTTTAAATTTAGAGATTGCCACTACCACTTGTAACTATAAATATAGCTAGGGTGAGTAGGGATCGTTCCAAGGGAAATGAGTGTATTATGCTTGGAAATCAAGGTCGGATTAGTAGGTCGAGTGATCAAAGATGTTTTAATTGGTTAATTAAACTACAATGTCAACTAAATGGATGCAAGGTAAAGCAATTAAAGTAGAGTAAAATGTAGAGAATATAAGAGAGGGATCTTGGGACTTAGAGGTCACCACTAAATAGCACCTTCCTAGACACTTAATGTGTAATGAATGAGAGGGGGTTATATGTTGCAATATTAGTGTGTGTCATTGATTGAATCAACAAGCATGGATGACTAATTAAGTATACATTGTCTAGACAAACTAGTGAATAGCACAATATATCAAATTAAGTAATTGTTCCTTTCTTTAAGTCTACAACCAATACACATCATCAAATTAGAGAAATATACTACTTGCATTCATAAGCATGGAACATCAACCAATAAGCATGGATTGTCCTCTTATCTAAGAAAGTAAGGCAAGTACACTACAAATAAGCTAAGGACATAAAAATTAAACTAATTAAACTAAGGAAAATGCACAATCCATCAAGAAATGAGTATAAACCATCAAACAAACTACAAAAGTATTCCATTTAAGCACCATGCCTTGATAATCACTAGATTCATAACATCAGCACACATAGACATGCATCAATATCACAAAACCTAGAGATAAACACATGAACATCTATTCTAGCATACATAGACATATGAATAGAATGAAATGATCAATTGGAAGTATTAAACCACATAAATCATTGTAGAAACAAGATTCATATATAAATCAAATGTCAAAACAAGAATTACGACACAAATCCCCTCAAAGTACAAAACATCAAAGTTTATGAGGCATGCTTAGGGCTATCTCTAGCCCCAAGAGAATGATTTAGCCACTCATTGATGTAGTCATCCAACCCTTAAGGGCCATCTCCATGGTAGGAATGATCTTCTTCTCCTTGATAGAAACCCTAGATGAATGAAAGAATTCCCAAATGGTGTGTGTCTCTCTAATCTCTAGACTCCTCCAACCTCTCTTATGTATATGGTTCATTTCTTTAAGATTGTATATGTGTAAAATGGTTCAAAATCCTTATATAGGTAGCTCAAGTGTCACACCCAATGGTCAAACCTCGTGCACTAGGACCTCCAAATGATTGCACCATGAGCACACCTTTTAATTGGACGGAAGTCTATTTTTCTCGCACTTGAGGAGGTTCGATCGATCACAAGGGTGGTCAGATCAATCGAACCATAGCGGCACCTTTTTGGAATAATGAAAAATCTGAGATATTTTTGGGATATTTTGGGAAAAAGACAAAAGTGGTAGGTGGGGATAAGATCAAAGAAGTCCGATCAATCGAAGTAATGTTGGATCGATCGAAGATGGGAATTTCCTGAGGATAAGGACAAGAGGCTCGATCCATCTTGGCATGGTTGGAACGATCATTGTGAGATTGATCTGAACTTGGTCTGATCGATCGAAGATTCCTGTTTTCCACCATTTTGCTTTCACTTTTCTCCTTTCTTCCACTGAGCTTGAGATTGCATCTTTTATGCTCTAATTCAGCTGGATTAACTTGTTTGGGGATAAGTTCCTGAAAAGGGAAATAACATGAAATTAAGCTAAAACGGAAAAATAAGATAGGATAAGGTCTTAGAATACCCAAGCTTAATGGGTTTAAATGCGCACTTTTTAGCGTTTATCAGGAACAACAATCCTTAGAGGCACCATGAAAATCCAAACCCGAACTCAAAATTGGTCAGAAATGGATTCTAATAAGGTGGAAAGGAAGATCTTACCAAGGCCTGCAATAAACACTAAGACACTACAGCAAAATACCAAAGGGAAGTGGCCGGAAAAGAAGAGATAAGCTGCCTCCCGAATGGGGTCTCGCCGGGTCTGGAAAAGTGGAATTTGAGCAGACGTTCTCAAACGGTAAAACACTATGAAAGAAAAAGAACCAAAATGAGATAAAATGAATAACGGAAGAAATGGCGTCAAAAACCAAGTTCCGAGCAAAAAGATATGCCCTGAACAAGTTCGGCGGTAATCGGTTCAGAAACCCTAAAACTGGGGAAAAACAACCAGAAGACAATTCTAAGAGTATGTGACTCAACGAAAAGTCAAAATGAATCCCGCACTAAGATCCAGGCTCAAAACGAGGCATTTTGTAACAACTTTCATTAATTGCACAATGGCCCCTACAAAAAGGGTTAACTGCACTAATAACCCAAAATGAAAATATCTTCGAAAAATATTTTCTTAAAAACCCCTGAAATAAAATATTCCCAAAAGATATTTATGAAAAGCACCCCAAGAAAAGAAAATGTTTCCGAAGAACTATGCATCCACGCCCCTATGGACACAGAGAGCAACTAGAGTACTTTTCTACAAAAGTAAAGATACTTATTTCGTGGAAATCATTTAGAATGAAGGTACGTGAAGTCAAAAATCAACTCCGAACACAAAAAGTGAGGTTGTGCCAAAAAGTGACAAACGGGGAAAAAGATGAAAAGTGAGTAGTGTCAAAAAATGAAAATGTGGAAATGACGCAGTCCTTTAAGGAAGTTGTCAATTCAAAGGAAAGAGTCTTGGAAACCATCCCCGAGCACTCAAGACGACACTAAGTGATGAGAAACCGAACTCAGAAAAAAAAAAGATCAACGGAAAAAAAAATATCCATAAAATTTAAGAAAAATGAAAGGAATGAAAATGACCAGGTCATTACAAATAATTTCTTTAAATTTCTTAACAACTGTAATTGAAACAAATAATTTTTATTCATCAACAATATGAATATTAAATTTTATTCAATTATAACAAATTTATGCATCTTCATCACCAAATTGATTCCACAAAAAGTTCCATGAGATCTCTCATAAGATCGGTATTGTCTGATCTATTGCAAATTCTACTTAGGTAAGAGGAAATGTGTGCCGCCAACATTGATGGGCTTCAAATGTAATTTGGAAGGGAGATTGGGTCATCCGTCGGAGGTATCCATTACAAAATGTGTTCGCCCTCGTCTTCAATGACCATATTGTGTAATACGATACACGTTTTCATTATCTTGTTTAGATCTTCTGTATTCCAGTAAAGTACCAGTTGATGTGTTATAGCCCACCTCATTTGCAACACTCTGAACGCTCGTTCGATATCCTTTCTAACAGCTTCTCGTTTGTTAGCAAATAGTTTCTCTTTGACAGTTGTTGGGTGCAGGATGGTCTGCATCAAAGTTGCCCACTTAAGATATATATCATCAGATAAGTAATACCCCATTGTACGCCGATGCCCATTCACCATGTAATTAATCGAAGGCATTGTACCATCGATCATGCTCTTAAATACTGGCGAATGATCGAGAACATTCAAGTCATTATGTGAACCATAGCCATACCAAAGAAAGCATGTCAGATCCACAGATTTTTCGATGCAACGGCCTCCATTATGAGGGTAGGTTTATAACTTCTTCCCGTGTGCGTGCCATGCCACACTGTGGGGTAGTTCTTCCATTCCCAATGCATACTATATATAGAGCCAAGCATACCTGGAAATTCCTCTTTCTTCCCCTTATCGTAGCAGACGTGTCGTTTGCATTTGGTAAGCGTTGGTACTGTTACGTATACACAGCAATTATAGCATCACAAAACCTCTTTAAGATCGTAATGTGCTTAGAAATCTTTATATACTCGTCACAACGATCAGTTGAAATTCCATATACGAGTATATGGATTGCAGTAGTCATCTTCTGTTTAAGAGTGAACCCCATACGACCGAGGGCATCGGGTTTTTGGATAAACCATTTGTCATATGCTATAACACTGTTTAAAATGCGAAGAAACAACTCTCGTCGTATCCGAAACCTTTTACGAAACATGTTTGGTGGATAAATCAGATTTTCAACAAAGTAATCTCGAATTAGCCGTTGTGCTGCCTCCTCTCGATCACATTTAATATACTTTCTCTTACAAGGTTGAAAGAATGCCTGCACCCTATCAGGCGATAATAATCTCCTCACATCGATCATCCTTTTTTGATGGATTTCAAAAATATTTTCCCTGTCTGAATCTGACGAATTCAATGGAGAAATAGACTCAAAGACGGGTATATCTCGTAACGATGAAGTCATTGTTTTTTTGTATAAGAAAAATGAATACTCAAAGAATAGAGAATGGACTTGAGAATATAAAGAAGTGAACTTGATAATTGAAATAAAATAAAATGAATGATTTATATAGACATTGAAAGAAGAGAGAATGGACTTGAGAATGTAAAGAAGTGATCTAGATAATTGAAAGAAAATAGAATGAGTGGTTTATACAGAAATTCAAATATATTCATCGGGAATATAATCGTTGGAAAAAAAACAAAAAAATATAAAATTAAAATTAAAAATTTTATTTAATTTAAATTAAATTAATAAAATAATAAATAAATAATAAAATAATTGATATTCACACCATAAAATAATAAAAAATAAAGTACCATGTTAGCATTTTTTTTAGTTTATATGGCAATTTATATTTTAAAAAATAGATGGAGAACCTTTAGTTCTGACCGAAAAGCAGCATCTTGGTTTTTGCACTGCCCGAAACCAATTATTGGGGCCGCAATTATTGGACCTAAAATCTCTGATATGTTTCTTTGTTAGCCGAAAGCTAGTTTGGTCTTTCACACTTGTCAACAAGACATTTCTATTTCGTGTTCACACCCAAAAGCAAATCCTTTGTTTTGGGAAGTAGTCAAAGCAAATCCATTGACTATACTCTTTTTTAAGATTTACGTTTTTGTAAGTATCATCCCTATTCCATTGCATTTTTTTCTGTTTCTTTTTCTTTTGACTACGTCAACATGGAGGCCCCACCCATGATTCACTATCATTCATAGTTATTGGATTGAGATTACGCTTCTAGAGACTTAGAGAGTACATCAGAACACACACGATCGTGTCGTTATTTATTTATTTATTTTACAAATACTCTCTCTGTCCTAGTTTACGGGAAGTAGTACTCGTTTTTTATCCCCAAAATAATAATAATAATAATAATAATAATCATAAATTTTTTTTTAATTTGTTTCAAAAAAATTATTTATTTTTTTTTAATAATATATTTTACATCTTTTTATATATATTTTTAAAATTTAAAATTTCAAACTTAGAAGAATAAATTAGTAGAGACAAAGCATGTCCAACGTGTTTTCTTATAAATTCCTACTCTCTAAAAACGACATCTAAATTAAGACAAATGGAGTAATTTTTAAAGGAATATGTAAGACATGTATTGTCTCCTTGAAAAGTTACTAATTTACCTTTTTAAGTTTTAAATATTCAAAAATTTTATACTCAAATGATATATATAGAAAGATGTGAAATATATTATTTGAAAAAGTAAAGTGAATTATTATATTGAAAAAAAAAAAAAAAAAAAAAAACAAGCATGACACTTATTTTGGAATAGAGGAAGGACATATTTATGTCATTATCATCTTGTTTTTCCTAACTCCATATAAATGAAATCAGCCATTTAATATTTTTTTCTTTTTTCAATCATTTTTATTACACTGTTATATTTAATTTTAGAAATGAAAAATGAAAAAGGAAAAATAATAACACAAGTCATAAAAAAATGAAAAAGAAGAAGAAAGAGGGATATTGTTAATCTCCTATCTTATTAGACTGATTAATGAGAAAAAAAGAAAGAAAATTATAATCTTAAACACTTTCTTTTTGTCAAATAATCTTAGCACTTGATCATATTATAAAATAATAATAAAATAATTTTAATAAATTTATTTTGAAAACAAAGAAATGATTTAAAGAGAATAAAAAACATACCTGGAACTCATATGGTATTATGATTTTATCTTTTATAAAAGGGTAAAGTGCCTTATATATATATATATATATATATATATATATATATATATATATATATATATATATATATATTCAAATTGAGTAAATAAGGATATTTTGTTAAATTGAAGACTAAAATATCAAAAATATTCTTAAGGTAAAATAAATAAATAAATAAAAGAAAAAAGAACAAAAATACATTGACTTCATAAAACACTGAATATGAAGGGTATTTTGTGATTTTAATAAAAATATTTGGTCAAAATTGACTTTAAGGGGGAATTTGCACATTCAAAAATGTTAGATTGTTGGAGGTTTTTTTTTGGCACATTCTTTATGTAACATGATTTTTTATTTCTTCATTCAGGGTAAAAAAAAAAAAAAAAAAATCTTGTGTTGAAAAAGTGATAGATCTTCTAACCTCAATTGCCGACTCCTTCTTCGAATATAACGTGGTTGAGAATGAATCGAAGAAAAAAAAGATGTTTACGGAAATTTTTTTAAGAGTCTAACGGAATCCAATCACGTTGTATTTGGAGGAGGAATAGGTAATTAATGTCGAAAGACATTTCATTTCTTATATTTTTTATTAAACTTCCTAACTCTTTCTTTTCATTTTCTTAGATTTCCTCCTATTTTGTTTCCCTCCATTATATTTTTTTATTTATTTTACAATAATTTATACCAAATAAAATACTCCTTTGTCTCGTGTGACTCACAATAGATACCTATTTTGAGACGGGACTATTTCCTCCTATTTTGTTTCACAATAGATAATAATTTTTTTTTGGGTCTTTTTCTATGTCAGGAGGGGGTGTGCATGCAAGACTTTAAAACCTCGGGGGTGTTGATGTCAAAAAAATGTTGATCGACCATTGAGTGGCATTGACCAATACCTCATGAGGTGTCAGCGCAATTTATCCTAATTTAAAATTATTTTGTTTAGTTAAAATTCATTAGATATATATATATTTTTTCTAATCTTTCATCTAGGTATATATCTTTCCCGAGTGAAATCAAAGTAGTCATAAATTTTTCTTTCAAAAATTAGATTTTGAAAAACTAAAACAATTGATGAAGAAAATTTAATTACGTGACAATACTTATTTATGTACATCTTCTCTTTTTAATTGTAATTCATTGCTTTTTTCTTTATATTTTTCTTTTTAATATCAATTTTTCGTCGATTATTAAGTTGTATGTTTTTCTTTTTAAAATTTTCTCAAAGTATATACACTATGACTAAATCATATTATGATTGATTTATAAAATTTTCAAACTTTAATTACGTAGTACAAATTTGACCCCAATCTAAAATTTCTGGCCACATCAACATATTTTCTTTCTCCTCTCTCTTTTTTATTCCATCAATTAGTTAACACTATGTTATAGATGTCTGTAAAAGTTATGTGTTGTCTTGGACATGATAAGTGACTGGTTGTTATTGACATATATATTTTTACACAAAAAGTATAAAAATAATAGTCAGAGTTAAAAATAATTAGTCTAAATTTTTGTGCACATCAAATTTACACAAATATATATATATATATATATATATGCAATCATTGGAGTTACTCTTTTGCAATAATATTTTTTTATTAAACTTCCTAACTTTTCTTTCCATTTTGTTAGATTTCCTCCTATTTTGTATCCTTCAATTATATGTTTTTTTTAATTTATTTTAAAATAATTTATACCAAATATAATACCCCTCTGTCTCCTGTGACTCCAACAATGGACACCTATTTTGAAACGGGAGTATGTCATTTTCCTTTGTTATTTAGTATTAATTTTTTTCCAAGTCATACTGGCCATAAATTCTTTCCATTGACTCAACATTGTTGACTCAGCTATCTCACGGTCGGTGATTTAATCACTACCCAACTCTCTCAAACCACAAAACGCCCAAAACCTAAACGAACCACTTTGGCTATTCATAGTCAATCCGCCCTCTGGCTGTGTCTCTCTCTCTCTCTCTCTCTCTCTGGTCTTCTCCGCACTTCAAGCTCAAATCCAACTATGGCCACCACAAATCTCTGTCCTCTCTCTTCATCTCTGGACAAATTCCACTCTCTCTCCAAGAAGCCATCTCCAAAACCCTTCTCTCTCTTCCCCAAAACCCTACCAAAACCTTCTTCTTTCCCCAACAAACCCTCCTCCTCACATTCCCACAAAACTCTCCTCGCATTCTCCTCCAAAAACCCCATCTCTGATGTTATCTCCTCATATAAATCAGACCCAGATGCCCATTCATGGAGTTTTGATGATGATAAGCCCCGAGAAGAGTGCGGCGTCGTTGGCATCTATGGCGACCCCGAAGCTTCCCGCCTCTGCTACCTCGCACTCCACGCGCTTCAACACCGTGGTCAGGAAGGCGCCGGAATCGTCGCCGTCCACGACAACGTGCTCCAATCGGTCACCGGCGTCGGACTCGTCTCCGAAGTCTTCAACGAGTCGAAACTCCGTCAGCTTCCCGGCGACATCGCTATCGGACACGTTCGCTACTCCACAGCCGGAGCTTCCATGCTCAAGAACGTCCAGCCCTTCGTCGCCGGGTACCGATTCGGCTCGGTCGGCGTTGCCCACAACGGTAATTTGGTGAATTATCAAGCTCTTCGTGCTACGCTTGAAGAAAATGGGTCAATTTTCAATACTAGCTCTGATACAGAGGTGGTTCTTCACCTTATTGCCATATCAAAGGCTAGACCTTTCTTTCTGAGGATTGTTGAGGCTTGTGAGAAGCTAGAGGGTGCTTATTCGATGGTGTTTTTGACCCAAGACAAGTTGGTTGCGGTTCGAGACCCGTTCGGGTTTCGGCCGTTGGTTATGGGTAGGAGGAGCAATGGTGCTGTTGTGTTTGCCTCGGAGACTTGTGCATTGGACCTAATTGAGGCCACATATGAGAGAGAGGTGTATCCTGGTGAAGTATTGGTGGTGGACAAAGAAGGGGTTCAATCACTTTGCTTAATGCCTCACCCTGAGCCCAAAGCTTGTATCTTTGAGCACATCTACTTTGCTCTGCCCAATTCAGTGGTTTTTGGGCGGTCTGTGTATGAATCCCGCCACGCATTCGGTGAAATACTTGCCACCGAGGCCCCGGTTGATTGTGATGTTGTCATAGCAGTGCCGGATTCCGGGCTAGTGGCTGCACTTGGTTATGCTGCCAAAGCAGGGGTGCCGTTTCAACAAGGGTTGATAAGGTCACATTATGTGGGGAGGACATTTATTGAGCCATCACAGAAGATTAGGGACTTTGGTGTTAAGCTCAAGCTCTCTCCGGTGAGGGCGGTATTGGAAGGGAAGAGGGTGGTTGTTGTGGATGACTCAATTGTGAGAGGGACAACGTCTTCGAAAATAGTTAGGTTGCTTAAGGAGGCAGGCGCTAAAGAGGTTCACATGAGGATTGCTAGCCCTCCCATTATTGGGTCTTGTTATTATGGAGTAGACACACCTAGCTCCGAGGAGTTGATTTCTAACAGGATGAGTGTGGAGGAGATCAGAGAGTTCATTGGTTCGGATTCGCTTGCTTTTCTGCCATTTGATAGCTTGAAGAAGTTGTTAGGCAAAGATCATCCCAACTTCTGCTATGCTTGCTTTTCCGGGAAGTACCCCGTTCTGCCAACGGGTAAAGTGAAACGGGTTGGTGATTTTGTGGATGATGGATTGAATGGAAGCATAGGAGCCATTGAAAGGGGTTGGGTTCAAGAAACTAATATGCAGCAAGAGGGAAGGGATATAGATTCTAAACAAAAAGAGGAGGAGATAGTTCCGCTATAATGCTGTTTTGATGCTGACTATATGTTTTGCTTCAGTGCCTCCAGCTTGCAGTATAGGCATTTTTTGGTGATGGCCTGAGTTATATATGGTGCGGTGAGTGACAAATGTGTTGATGATCATTATACAATATTTGTGTTTCGTTAAATGAATTGAGGCGGTCAAGCTAAAGCATTTATAAATTTTTTTTCCCCCCTTTTTGCTTAATATGATCTGATATTCATTCGAGTCATATTTTTTTCATGATTATAGACAATGACTTGTGATTTTTTTTTTTCTTTTCTTTTTTCAGTATACAGTTGAATGTTCTGTATCTCAGCCAAATTAGCATTTTATGATCCGTCATGTAAATTTTTCAGCGTCTGAGAAGTAGCATCCCTTGTGTTATTTTGTCCTGCTATCATTTTTATAATAGTTCTATTCGGTACTTGGACACTTTTGAGATTGAACTGTAATGGAACACTCAAAAATTATCATTTGTTTATATAACTAAGGATGCTGAGAAAACTATAGCTACAAGATTCATCATGTTTATGCATTTCCGAATTCCGGATAAAATATGTGAGTGCAGTAAGGGAGAGAGGGGGCAGTAGAGAATGTCACAATCTGAAGTCAACTAAGAATTTAGAAGCCTAGTCTATTGAATGAAACCTGCATAGTTTTGGTTTTATGAGTTGATTCATGTCCCTCCGGATTAGGAGCAAACAGGTTCTCTGTAGCTCAATTCTTCAAGGTTACAATACTCTCATTCTTTGTAGAGTTGTGCGAAGGCTGATATTCAGTTGTGTCATATTTTCTCATGATAATAAACAATGACTAGTTTTTGTTTTTGTTTTTGTTTTTTTTTTCGAATGTTCTGTATCTCAGCCGTAGCATCTTATGATCTGTCATGTAAATTTTTCAGTGTCTGAGAATTGTGGAGTAGCAGCATGTATTTTGTTATTTTGTCCTACCATCATTTTCGGATAGTTTTGTTTGGTAGTTCTACACTTTTAGAGACTGATATGTGATGAAACACCCAAAATTTATCATTTGTTTCTATAACCAAAGATGCAGAGAAAGTTATAGCTACAAGATTCATCATGATTATTTATGCATTTCCTAATGATGAAATATGTGAGTGCAGTAAGTTACAGTGACTAGAAAATATTTCCTTCTTGAAGACTACGTTTCGAAAGTGCTGGAAGCATAAAATTGTAACTTTTTTTTCTTTTTTTTTATTTTAAAGTAAGCCATAAAATTGTAACTTCATTGCTTCATTGTGCATGTGTGTGTGTGAGACAGAGAGAGTGATAGAGAGAGAGGTAGATAATGTCACAATCTGAAGTTAACTAAGAATAGAGAAGCAAAGTATAGATTTTAAGAGTGAATTCATAAAGGTTACAATACTCTCATTCGTTGTAGATTTGTGCGTGGGAAGGCTGAAATTGAATGTACTGCTCTTGAGTGTCCCAAAAGGATGAAGGATTATTGCAACCAAATTGAATTAGTAGCTTAATCTAAGACCTCTTGCTGCATCTATGTGTTTGTCTTCTAGGAAAAAAAATTTTTGACAAGTATAACACAAGTTGAACTTTGCGTTCCGGCAAAATTTTCTTACTCCCAAAAGATATCAGAATCGACCTAGGTTTTTATCCCCGAGTTTGTACTTGGAGAGATTCAGATCCTGTCCTCATTCCCTTGAATATACTGGCCTTAGGTTATGGAAAGAACGTTTTGATCTTTGCTTGCATGAATAAATATCTGAAACTTGGATAGAATTTCTCATGTATCATTGTCCAGACATTATTGCTCTGACTTCATAATGTAGAGAGAAGGAAACATACATGGCATATTATTGCATGAAATGGAAATTTGAAGCTTTCAGGACTGTGCATAATTATACAGTAGTACAATGTGATAACATAGAATTAATGAATTTTGATTGAATGTGTGTAAATTTATATTTTCTGCGTTTGTGTGGGAAGTAGTTGGAATTGTTGGATTAGAGGAAATTTGAGAATTGGTGCATTTAAAGGTTGAAATATTGAGCCTCTATGAGGCAGAGTGAGTAGCTGAAAACCATGGCTCATGATGTTAAGGTCACTAATTCAACTTCTGCTTGGGGTTTGTACCAGATTCGAATTAACTGGGACACATGCTCGATGATATGCATGTGTTCGGGGAAATATATTCGGTGTGCTTGATGCACGGGGCCATTGCAGCCGTTCATACTTGCGCGTGTTGTGCACGCGTCCACGCTCACGCCTGCACAATATGAACGACTGTGATGTGCACTGTGCATTGGGCACACTGAATACCTATACCTACTAGTCTTCTTGGAATTAGTCCATTAGTGGTGAAAGCATGTTTAAATTTTTTATTTTTTATTTATTTATTTTTAAGGCGTTAATCCGAAAGAATGAAAAAGATTTTTTCACTTTGTTTTGGTAGTGGTGAACAACTGCTGTGAAAATTATTTTGTTAATAATATAAGGTAAATACTATTTTTTTTCCTTTACAATCTCATTCAAACATTCTTTATTTTCGTAATAAAATCAATATAAGATAAATACTATTTTTTTTTCCTTTACAAACTCATTCAAACATTCTCTTAGAAACATTGGGTGGTAAGTTTAGTTTGAAAACATGTTTCTGCTGCAGAATAAATCACAGCAAAACAAAAGACATTATTGCTTTTGTTTTTTATGAAATCAAAATTACAAAATAAAAAGTGTAGTCGGAACGGTCCCTTAATCATTTACTCCACAAAAGAGTAGTATGATGCAGCTACAATGTGGATCTTTTTCCAAGCTTTTTAAATTAGAAGCTCCAACCACGTCGGCTATTTCTGGGAGGTTCCATTGATGAAAGCAAGCGGGGGACTATTTTAGTATTTATTTATTAATATAAAAAAATATTTATTAATATATATATAATGAATTAAAATAAAAAAATTTATCAAATAATAAAATAAATTACCAATTCAAATAAATCCTATAAGTTACCAAGTACAATAAATCCTATTATACCTGAAATTTTTCAAGGTTAAAATAACTTTACTTTTTCTATTTTTTTCTACTTCTAACTCTTTCCTAAATATAAATATAGATCAAAATCTATCCAAATAATAAAATAAATTATCAATTAAAATTAGGTAAATTCAATCAAGAAGTTTCAAATCATTATTAAAACAACTAAAACAAGTTACCTATTAAAATAAAATAGGCAAACATTTAATAAAATAATTTACTAAATAAAATTAAAAAGGTAATTATTAAATTGAAATTCAATTAAGATGTTTCAAATCATTAAATAAATTAGCAATTAAAAATAAATAGGTAATTCTTTATTTAAAATTCAATCAATAAATAAATTACCAATTAAAATTAAACAATAAATTGTTTAATTGAAATTCAATCAAAATGTTTCAAATCATTTATAAATAAAATAATAAAATAAGTTACCAATTAAAATAAATCATATTATGCTCAGAATTCTAATTAAAATTAAATAGGTAATTGTTTATTTTAAATACAATCAAGAAATAAATTACCAATTAAAATTAAATAGGTAATCGTTTAATTGAAATTCAAGATGTTTCAAATCATTTATAGGTAAACTAATAAAATAATTTACCAAATAATAAAATAAGTTACCAATTAAAATAAATCCTATAAGTTACTAATTAAAATAAATTCTATTATGCTTGGAAATCTTAAAGGTTAAAACAACTTTAATTTTTCTATTTTATTATATTTCTAACTCTATCCCAAATATAAATATAGATCAAAATCTATCCAAATAATAAAATAGATTACCAATTAAAATTAATTAAACAAGATGTTTCAAATCATTTATAGATAAAATAATAAAATAATTATCAAATAATAAAATAAGTTACCAATTAAAATAAATCATATTATACCTAGAATTATTCAAGGTTAAAACAACTTTACTTTTTCTATTTTATTCTACTTCTAAATCTTTCCTAAATATAAATATAGATAAAAATCTATCCAAATAACAAAATAAATTACCCAATTGTTTAATTGAAATATTTATTTAATGATTTGAAATATCTTGGTAAAATAAATGACGATAAATCAAGATGTTTCAAATCATTTACAGATAAAATAATAAAATAATTTACCAAATAATAAAATAATTTACCAATTAAAATAAATCTAATAAGTTAACAATTAAAATAAAAAAAGTTACCAATTAAAATAAGATAGGTAATTATTTAATAAAATAATTTACCAATACCCTATAAGTTACCAATTAAAATTAAACAGGTAATTGTTTAATTAAAATTAAATCAAGAAATTTTAAATCATTATTAAAACAACTAAAACAAATTGCGTATTAAAATAAAATAGGTAATTATTTAATAAAATAATTTACGAAATAATAAAATAACCAATTAAAATTTAAAAGGTAATTGCTTAATTGAAATTCAATTAAGATGTTTCAAATCATTAAATAAATTACAAATTAAAATTAAATAGGTAATTCTTTATTTGAAATTCAATCAATAAATAAATTACCAATTAAAATTAAATATGTAATTGTTTAATTGAAATTCAATCAAGATATTTTAAATCATTTATAGATAAAATAATAAAATAATTTACCAAATAATAAAATAAGTTACTAATTGTAACACTCCTCATTTTCCACGCATAAGTTGATCAGGCTTATACACGGAAAAATGAGATATATCAAAAACAATTGGTAATATACAAGCATGGAATACAAAATGATAATAATAGAACTTAGACATGAAAGGAAAACTAAATAATAAAATATCCATCCATCATTTATTAAATACAATACTCCTTTATACAATTTGGAAATCCTATGTCAAGGATCCCTAAATATAAACCTGAAAGTTCAACGTCGGAAGTAAATAAAACTGAAATCAAAATAATACATAAAACTTCTACCCTGAACAAGACCGTAAAAGTAGATGAGTTCGGATGGTGGTCCCACACTGCTAAGCCTCAACCTTGAAAAGGGTACGGGTCCTGAAATAACAACAATGGTGGGTCAAACCCATAAGCAAGTCCTCTCTACTATGACCCAAATCAGAGAATCAAATAAATTAATCATCATTATTCGGAAGTATACTCTAACTGTATACACCCTAATGAAACTACCCAATGTATAATAAGACCTCAACCAGAATAGACGGTGATCACTTAGACTCACACGAGGTGGTTAAGTG